AAGCAAGAGACGTAATATTACATAAAAAGAAGCCTTGTTTACAGTGTTTTTTCTTTGTCTCTGCAAAAATTGAGACCGCAAACAAAAAAAAAAAAAAAAAAAAACAATAATTTTTTTATTGCATTGCATATGTAAAAAAAATAAAATAAATTAAAAAAAAGTTTATTTTCCGAAGAATCGATTTTTTGTTCTTTTTCCTTCCCTTTTTGCTCAAGACATAAGTGATACAGAAAAAAGTTTTCGAACAATCTACACATTATACTTTGTGATATGGAAATAATCCAGATAAAAATGGTTCTTCCAAACAATTTTATTTTAGTGTTTTGTACTTGACTGGCAGTATCGATGATATATACTACACAACTCACTTTGAAATTTGTGATTTAACAGTTCCGTTTATGCTTATTTGCTATAATAAATATTCTACTTTATAGGGTTTTACTTTATTTTCCTAACAGTTAATTTTGATTTTGGAAACAACCTATTCTTTCCATTCTTATTTTTCTACCAATGCTTTCCTGCACGAATGAGTTTTTAGTTTCACGTTTTATGCAAAATAGGACAGGAACGACTGATTAAGTTATAATTTGAGTTACTTCCGACAGATTGAGTTCTGCCTTTCGGCCGCGTTGTTGTTACTCGTCAAACTTGTTATTTTACTGCCGTGCATATTAATTGCCTGCAAATCTATGGCGGTGATATCAGCTAAAGAGCCATATATGTGTTAAATATCTCTGTGTAGCTTCGGCTGATTATTGAACTTAGAATTAGTTTAGATTTACGTTTTCTACTTTTATGTTAAAGCCATAAGTGCTGGCTGGCTATTTGTACGCCAAAATGGGGTCATCTGTGAATATATCTGAGTTAAAATAAAAGGGTATTTTAACTATTCTTCTGTTGTTGTTACTAACCCAGTAGAACTCAGCGAAAGAGCGCTCTACAATTCTAGTAGGTATTCAAGTAACTAGAACTAGAAAAGTGTTCAAGTAAATAGAACACCATAACTATATAGACTTACTTACTTAATTTATTTATTATAAATTTATAAGTTATTTAATTTAACGCCTCTCTTACTTTTTTATACATTTCAAAAATAAAATGATACAATTTAAATACTCGTCTAACCCACTATCTCGTGAAATGTGTTTTGAAATTCGTAAATTAGTAATAACCTATTCATTTGAAAAGTAATAATTAAAATGGTTAAGAATTCTTTCCTTTTGAAAACCTTTTAAAAACAAACTTGGAATATACCTGACCTCCAGTACAATTTGGAAAAAAAAATCTAATGATAATAATCATATATGATGCTGTAAAAGTTCTTATCAGTAACTTTTTAAATGATCTGGGAATGAAAATACTACTTGTGCAATCAAATATGGTACGGGTTTTTTAACATGTAGCTAGATTAAAAAAAAAAAAAAAAAAAAAAATGTAGTTTCGAATCAAAATAGAAGAACAGTCAAGACCATTTTCGTAGTTTTAGCTTTGCTTATCAACTGAATGTAATAAATGTTATCGTTTCGCTGACTCCAAAGAAATAAAGAATAAAACAAGCGGAAGTAATTAAGAAGGAGCAAAAATAATTCTCGACAACGATGAAAGCCGATCTTGGAAAGCTGCGCAGATGTTAAATGCGTAAATCCAGAATATTTATTTGCATTATTATTAAGAATGTGTACCTCATGCAGAAGTACAGTAAGAAAATGATTTAAAACAGGAAACAGTTTTGGATTCTTCTGTATTTTCTTCCGAAACAAATTGTTGGAAATGTTTATTTAAAAAATTAGTTGTTCAAAATATATTGAAGTATTTTCCTGGAATCATTTTTTAAGCTTTTTAAGAAATGCATTTATCTTAACGCGTGCTCGTTAGACAAATGGCGCGGCATATCTAGCAAAGTTCTAAAATACATCGGAATGCCGCAATCTAAATTTCTACATTTATGGTTCAACGGTACTTCTATATAAATCAATATTCAATCTAGTTTAAAAGGGAATTTATTAGAATACAAAGCAAATTAATCTAATCTAGAATATATCGATTTAACTTCCTATCAGCAGCATTGGAGCTGCATCAAACAAATCGAAAGCAAGTTCCAAATTTCACACTGTTGCCACTTGGCGTTTTCTAAATCGATGCGCTTCTATTGATTTTCGCGTTGCTATTCAGAGGTAAAGCAAAATATCTATTCAAACCCAGAACAGCACGGATTATCCTGGCAGCCTTGCGTGAACGTGAAAAAGTTTGACTATAACATGTTACTTTAAAATAGAAACTTTTAAGTTCATTTTATGCCGCCCGGCTTGCCTCGGAACCATAGGAGTGATAGCTGGAGCAGATGGCTCGCACCGTCTACATTCCCCCTCCCCCCTAATTTCCGTTAAGCGCGTTTTGCTTCATAAAATCATAAAAATGGCGGCGCAAGAGAAGACTGAGTTAAGCTTCAGTCTCAAATTAAGTTGCGAAAGTAAGTGCTGTGCGGTGATGATGACATACTTTATCATAGCAAATAGGAAGATGGGCAACGGCCTTGAAGTGCCTTTTTTATGCAATAGATTATAGTACTTGAAGGAGATGAGTGCTTGTGACATTCTGAAAGAGAATAACTATTTATGATGCAATGCATTTCATTGCTAAGCTTGAAATTAATTTAAGAGTTGAATCCTAATTTTTACAGATGGCTTGAAGAACGGATCTTTGACATCGCTAAGGAAGGATATTTTACAAGTTGTGGGATTTTAGTTTAACGCTTTGTTAAAATTATTTCTGGTATTCAGGAATTTGGAAGTGTAAAGGAAAAAACAGAGAAGTGTGGAACGGGGAAAAACGAGTATGGATGACGGCTGTAAAATGTTATCAGTGCAAGATATTCTTAATACAACAGGGAGAAGAAACAGTCGGGCAGAAAAAACAGAGAAGTGAAAACGAAATAGCAACAGAATTTGTAGTAAGGTAATGGAATAGCAGACATATTGTTAAACTATATGGGTACACAAACTCAGTACAGATTTGTTGGCAGTTTAGCTTTGGACACCACTAAATTTATTATCTGAAGTAAATACATAGGCAATGAGAACGAATGTACATAACACAATTTTTCTCAAATAAATTCTGCAACTGCATGTGCCATTCATTAAAATTTCTGTAAATCTCCTATTTTACATCTCAGACATGAATTCCAAGTTCACTGGTAGACTTTAGACAATTATTTACGTCGCGTAATAACTAGCATACATAGGTGTGAGTTAAACACCCGAAGAATTTTACGAAACGATATTTTATGAAAGCTAACACCTATTTCGTTTCCCTTTTATTTATTTATTTTTTGATATATCGTTATTTATTTTGTGATATATCAGAAACAGATGGAATCGTTATCAATTTCCCTTAGAAATTTTTGCTTGAAGCATCTGCAGTGTTTACACACGTACATAATTTTCTTTAGCAATCATATTTTCCATTAGAATGAAAAAAAATAAATAAAATGATACTGAACAGCAAACTTTCCTCCCCCCCCAAAAAAAACCTATTCCTGTTTCTGATGAAAGCTTCCAAACATGTTTTGTTACATCATAGAGTCATTAGGTTATATAAATGCATGAACGTAAAAATGCGCAGTGCTTTCGCCGGGATTCGAACTCCGAACCTCCCGAATATGAGTCGAGCGTGCTTCTAGTTACATCACGGAGGTATATACTCCTCCTTTTAACGGGCGACTGGGAACAAGAGACCCAGTTGTCGAATCCTGGCGGTGAGGAATTATCGTCCACCACGTTTTTAGTTCAGGGGTCACTGTAGAGACCTTTTAGAATTTTTCGAATAGAGGAAATAGAAGAAATCTGCAATGCCCTTCCCTGGATTCGATCTTCGGATGTCTCGAATACGAGTCGGACGTGCTTTCAGGTACACCACGAAGGTATGCAGAAAGGAAGAAGAAAACACCTTAGAACATATATATGAAAGATAAAACTTTGAACTTCATTTCTAACCCTTTTGTTTTGGATGAGTATTTTCTATTTGATGCAAAGAAAGTCACTTATCTATCCTGGACCTATCTATCCATTTGGACTGCATTACCTTTAATTAAATTGCCAATTTCTCCCTTTGGAAAGTCACTTGAGAAATCAGAAATCTTTTTTTACTTGTTATTTGTACAGAATTATATAAGGCAAATTATAATTACATAGGCAATAAGTTAAGTAGAGTAGATATTAGTATTGCTTAAACTTCAAGCAGATGTTCTAAAGTTTTCTGTAAAATATTCAAACAGAATCTTGAAAAATTGAAGAAAGAACTAAAAGAAAACTAAAGTGGGTCTTTCTTTTCCTTGTTTTAAAAGAAAAATATAATTAATGTGCTGACAGATTTAGTAACATTTCGTATGTCTGCGTAACATTTCTTATAAATGTACTTAAAAAAAGGAGTTCGAAAAATATCTGTAGTCCGACGTCCATGGTCTAACGAAACAGAATGAAAATATTTAGAAAGATTTATATTACAAATGTTGCAAGGTAAATACCACCATGCCAAAAAATACACCAAAAGTTTTAAGAAATTGAATCTTTCGCTAATGTCGGGTATACAATATTTTTGCCTAGCTTCTGCATCAACCTAACAATATCTCGGGCGAATTTTCAGGAACGCTAGAAACACTGCTTCCATCTGCCCTTGTAGCTTAAAATTCTTTGTCTGATAGCCCTTAAAGCTCTCGCTCTTAAATTTTAAGCTAGAAAACTTCTTTTTAAAACTGCTTTGACATGTTTGCTTGCTGTTATCCTAAGTAGTTGTATAAAATAAAGAGTTCGCTTTTATATCCCGACTGTACTATATCGTACTAGGCATAGTTAAATGATTTCACCTTTGGATATAAAAATCAAGCTTAATTTAATTATAGCATTTGTGTGATTAATGATTTTAACTAAATACAGAAAATCATGCGCTATTAAGAATTGTTGTAACTTACAAATAGAGTGAAGAGTAATAAAACCGTAGGAATGTTAGTGAAGAACATGCAACAATGTCATTCTTACCTTCTTAAGAGTCTTGAGATTGACGTGCAAGGCAAGTTCCGTCTTCAGCTTGTCCGGAAGAATTCCGAGTGCCGAGTTGATATCTCCACCGCCTTGCATGCGACCCCTAAAATTATATGAAAGATCCTTAAGTCATGTTTATTGTAGCATTAAAATTATCAAACAGTTTTTTCGTAAGTTCGGTTTTATTCTGTACCCCTTCTTGCTTGAAAACCGTCATTCGCTGATGGCCATCAAAACGTTAATAGCTTATTATTAATTTTTGCTCAAGTGATTCTTGTTTTCAAATAATAACTGCATGAAAATGTTCTGGAAAGTTTGTGCGAAGCTACCGTAGGATGCTTTACTGGGTCAGTAGCATCACAGGACAGTACCTGTATCACCATATGGTAACGTCCTGGTGTCTCGTATGTATATTCCTATCCAGATTCTTTTGTTTTGAAGTGACATGTATGACATTAGAAAAGTCTTTCCCAAACTCTAAGTGTTCACTTCCACGCCTGTCGAATTAATTTCTACTTTTCGTTGCCCTGCGTTGGCAACACGCTTTTGAGATTTGTCGTTCGTAGGATTCGGTCGCTAAAAGCGTAGGGGCCTTGTAACCGGTTTGTTTCTTATTTTTTGCTTATCTGTACTCCTGAATTATTACTAAATGTTTACGTGTGGATGTTTTATTATTAAATGTATTCAGTTTGGTTTAAATAGACGTGAGTGACTGAATTTATTAAGTATGTTTAAAGTAGAAACTGCGTCATCCACGTCGGCGCCATTCTAATACGAGGTACGTAAACACTAAGGAACGGGTGAAAATAGACATAAAACTTAATAAAGCATATAATAAATCACATAATATATGCATGTAATTGTAAACAACATCTATGAAAATATGAAATATAGAATGAAATGAAGAAAATAAATTGATCCCAACCAGTGACTGAACTGCAGAGTCAGTAGTCCAAAACGTTCTCCAAAAAGGCGTTGTTCCTTATAATCAGATAAGATTTGTCTGCGTTTCTGTATTGAATTAAACAAAGAAATGATATTATATAATATTAAAATGTTTATATCTTTCTTTTAAATCGTTCAGTTTATTAAACTTTGTGTTATTTTAGTTTAAAAAAATTCGTTAAATACCTTACACCATGTCGCATAATAAAATATGTGGTAATTTTTACTTTACTATGCAGTGTGAGTGGTAAACGAAAAGAATTACTCTTTGTATAATGACAGGGTCGTGTGAATGACAAATTCCATCTTAAAGCAATGTGGCTCAAAAAAGGAAGGAAATATAAAAGGAATATAGTCCATAAAAAGTAAAATAAATATCCTAATGTCAGAAGACCTAATTTTTTCATTGTTTGAGAACTTTGAGATACTGTGTAACAAATAGATTTAAAAAGAGTTATTCCATTGCGTTACAGTGCTGCAAAGTTTTTAAATTTTCTTAGTTGGAAGCAAAGCTAAGTAAATAGCCTGAGAAGGAGCAAAATGACAAAATAATAAAACTTTAAGAAATGACAAAAATGTGTGAACTATGCTAGAGTTAGGGCTTTCGTTTTTCAAAAATAAACATCATACGATTATTGAGAAGATTTATGAATTAGATATAGATACGAGGGTTGCTATTTATATTTCCAGCCTAATAATGAAGAAAGAAATTTTATAATCGAAAATGGTTTTATTTTGTTTTTCAAAATATTCTCCATGATGACCAATACACTTTTGTATGCTTTTAAATGAATTTTCGAAGTACTTTTTCCACTCCAATTGAGGTAACTCCAAAACATGTGTTTTGAATGCATCAACTGCTTTTCTTCGGGTATCACAAATTGTTGGCCACCTAATTTATTTTTGATGTGTTGGAATTAAAAAAACGTCATTGGGTGACAAATCAGGGCTGTACGGCGTATAACCCATGAATTCAATGTTTTGGCCCGTCAAAAATTAATATGTTTGAGCCGATGAACAGAACTTGCATTGTCATGATGAAGAATGATTCACTTTTTCTGCTTTTTTCGAATTTCTCCGATGACTTCTGGCAAACAAATGGTCATGCATCATTCGATATTGACTGCCTTGCATTGCTCTAATGCGACTGCCGCTACATGATCGATAATGCTGTAGAAACAGGAAATCGTTTGCTTCGATGTGCTTCTTCGACGAACAACTTTTGTCGAATTGCTTCGTTTTGAAAGACCCATACATTCGACTCCTGTTTTATTTCGGGCTCATATCCATAGATCCATGATTCATAATCTGTGTAGATGTTATGTATAGCTTTTGATGCCCCTTAAACGTATTTTTCTAACATTTCCTTGCACCAATCGAGACGAGCCTTCTTTTGAGCGTCTTTTAGATTATGCGGGATCTAACGCGAAAAAATCTTTTTTACGGCCAATTGTTCATGTCAAATCACATTGTTTGTTGTCATACTCATGCCCAAAGATGCCTCAGTGACTGTCTATCACATGATGATCTTGCTTTGTCAGTTCACCACAGCATCGATATTTTCTGCCACAGCAACCGAGGTTGGACGATCTTCACGGATTTCGTCCAGGAGCGACCGTCGACCACGATTGAAATAATTATACCAGCTTTCCACAGTGCTGTAAGATGGCGCTTCATCGCAATGGAAAGAATTCAGATCATCGAGGCACTCTTGTCTTGATAAGCTACTTCGAAATTTATGAAAAATAATCGTACGAAAATGTTCAGAGTCAATTCCCCTTTTTGCCCGAGGTGAATTTTTCAGTTTACTGTAAACAACACAAATCTCTCCAAAATGGCGAAACGTTCTGAAGAAGTTATGGTTAACAACATAAAACTTTCGACTGGAATCATCTGCGGTCGCCTAGGAACATTCACTGTTGCCAAGGCCAGAAATATACGAGTAAATAGCAACCTTCGAATTTGATATGAGACTGTTATATATTGTATTTTTATGTTTTACGAAATATTTAAATAGACAATAAATATAATACTAAGGTAAATTTTCGTTGCCTCGGAATGCGTTATCAGTTTCATAATAATGCCGAAATCACATTCAAAGCGTAATGCATTAACTGTTACCCGCATTGTTTACAGATGACAATGAAGGCTGAAGGGAAAAAAACTACGTAGTAGATGTTTTTGATGTCAGGGGGGGGTCCATTTTTCAACTTAATAAATATCTTCTCCTGTTTTCCCACTTGATTGATGTAAAGAGATGAATCAAAGCTATATTCGGAATAAATATCATATTTCTGAATCCCTAGGGGAGAAAAAATGAAGAAATTACCTTTATTCTAATCATTTTTCTGTATAAAATGACAGCCTCGAACTGAACAATAAAACCCAGAACGCTACGTTTTGCTACTTTTAGGATGGGCGAGAATTTATCGGAAATAACTAAAAGTTAAACAAATAAATATTGGCATCACATCCTGAAGAGGTAATGAGCTCAAATTCATGAGGAAGATACACTGTATGCACAAAAAGTAAAGATCGTTTTACGTGTGCTATTTGACGTCATTTATTTTAGAATTTTATTTCAATGGTTGCTGTATGCTCTACGGACGAATTCTTAATATATCTCAATTCTAATACTCTGATAAACAAATATTTCTCAAATTCTTCGATTTGTGTCTCTTATGGTTATGATGCATGCATCAATATATTTCAGAAACATTTATGCCTGAATATTTGAAGTTATTTTCTGTCTCTTTTAGTACATAAATGAATAATTAGGTACATTATTGTATAATGAAAATTAAAGAATCATTATTATAGCCATGTAATTTGGGACAATTAGATTAAATTTAACGGACAGTTAAGCTTAATTTAAGTACTGCTCTACCTTTCCTTTGAGTTATGCTCGGACCACAAGGTTGTCAGTCCGAGCCATACAGTTTGAAAGGTGGCAAAAATTTATTACAACTTATATGTGAAGAAATGCTTTGCTGTTCGTAATTGCTAGCGAGGCTTCTTGTCCGAGGTTGGCAGTGGCGTCTTTTATAATAATTAAGCTAAGCATAAAATTGGTTCTTATTTTTTAATAATTTGATTTTGATCGTTGTACCTTTCAACGCAGATGGCATAATTATTATCAGTTGCTGTGGATAATAATCGCTTTTTTATTCTGAAAAGGCTCGCCTTAATTTTAACCCATAAGGAGTGAATAAATAAAGTTTCTTGAATTGCCTTCTGTTCCTGTGCAGCTTGATTTTCAACCCTTGCCGATCTGTTCCTGTGTTAATCGATTTAGATGAACAAATTAGAGATAACTAAAGATTTATTGTTAGATGAACATGTTTTTCGAATAAGCTAAATTTTAAAGTTATGGCCTTCATAATAAAGAATAATAAACCGTCGCCGAAGGCAGGGCTGTCATTACTATACTGCTCGCACGGCAAAATCACGTTCCCAGAGTTAACGTTCCATAACAAAAACTGAGTACGTTATAGTTCAAATTGAGAAAGTATGTGTAATTTAAACGAACCCATAAATATTGTTGTAATTAAAAGGGAATAATTATATAATTTTTATTTGAAGCGAATTTTATTACTGCTTCATAAGTAAGTACATAATACTGCTGCGGAAATCCCCAGCTATGGTGAGAGAGCTTCCCATAAAGCGGGGCTAGGGCTGCCATATTTGGCCCGAAATCGCTCATTTGCCAATATTTGGCGACAAAATTAGTGATATACCATAGACGGAGCGAGAACATTTCTAGAACACATTTTTAGCGGTTTTCTCGAGGATATTTTTGAAAGTAGGTTACATCTATATGTAACCTGCCTATCCTGCGAGGCAGCAGTGCTTTGAGTTCAGAGATTAGCTTGAGAGCAGTCGACCGACTTGAGAGCTGTTTTTTTAGTCAGCCTGAAGACTGTGTTGCTCACTGTTTCATAGTGTTTATCGTAGTTTTTCGAAGACTGTAAACGTGTCCTTTGTAAATGCTGGCAAATAAATTGTGTTTCAATACTTCATCAAGTGTTATCATCAAATAATCGAAATCAACGAACCCGTAGAACGCAACAATACATTTATTTTTATAAAAACTGACGAAATGTTGCCTAGGATAAAGAGTAACGCAACTCTTCAAAAGTTTCGCGTTAAGGAGCAAAG